TTTCATAAAATGTGGAAATAAACATTTTAAGGATTAATTTAAATGTTAACAAAGATTGGACTATATGTTCTTTCTTTCAAGAGAAGAAATCCACAGGAAAAGGGTCAGCCCTGAAAAGACCCTGCCAATGATGCTTGCCTGTCTTTGGTGGACTTGATGGTGGGACTACAATCATTTAATATAGTAAATGTACAAATATTGAAAATATTTAAAGAATTTTAAAAGACTTTCTTGTCAAATAATGCATCAAAATATATTGTTAAGGTCTGAATTAAGCTAGGCAGAGCATGCTTCTGGAGAATAGCTTTTCACTTTCTTAATTGAGCATCTGCAGACTAAATTATAAGCAAGAAAAATAAAAGTATTTAACCTCAAGAAACAGATATTTTTCTGGGTCAAAACACAACTTCTCTTCAACGTTGGTTCTATAATCACTAATGTTTGCAGTGTGGGCAGAAGGGTACAGACAGAGGCCTAGAGAGTAATGAAGTCAAAAATGCTTGTGGACTGGCTTTAGATGAATGTGCATTTCCCTGCAAAACAGCCATGTAAACATGTGGAAACATGTAACAGAGATTGTCACCGTGTATATCAAATGTCACACTAAAGCGATCTTTACCATTCTCTTCCCATTCCAATGAAACAGTTCCACTTATGAACAAGCCATAAGTCTCATGGATGAAAACATCTTTTCAATGACAAATCTACCCTGACAATCCCATTAATAGGATTAAGGTTCATTAAGGACATGTTTTGTCATATAAATCTGCCCCAAATACCCCTGGAGGTTTAAGTCTTGCACCAAAACCCAGGGCCTCTTGCATAGTAAATCCTGAGCACATCTTCTGATAGCTATCTGAATTTTTTAAAACAGGCATCACTTTAACCAAGAGTGTATTGTATTACTTTAGACCAAACAGCCAAATATATTTATTAAGTGCATATTCCATCCTTCTTACAAGAAACCCAAGGCAACGTATTGGCAGTTATTCCATTTTATCCTCACAACAATCATGAGAAGTAGTTTAAGGTTCAGAGAGTTTCATGGTACTGTGGGGATGTGAACACAAGGATAGCCAGTCCAAGCTAAAAATGCTTTCTTTTCTTTCTGATCTAAAAGACAAAAGTCTTCTGGTCCAAAATTTCTGATGTAAAAAACAAACTGTCTTCCATTCCATGATTTTAGCATTGCCTCTGGAAAGAATGTTCA